CAAATGACCAAATTCAGCAGTGGACTCCTAAGTGAAGTTTTTTGTTTGCTTTCAATGACAATTTTCTTTTATGTTTTGTTATTTTTGACGAAACCGATATAAGTAGATAGAGCATAATTATAAACAGCAGAGATGACCCACACGACTAAACTTGCAATATAACTTAAAATGACTGACAACGTCAGTCTGCAACTTATAGGGGAATATTATGCTTCAATAACGGCGAATTATTTTTTTGCGCTTTTTACTATTTTAAAACATGAAAACTATAATATTAAGAGAGGCTTTTAATGCAAAACTTTTTCCCCCCTGAATTTCTTCTTGAACACACTCATCATAGACAAGATAGATAACAGGCTTAATACAATCATCGCTCGAATCAAACTGTCAATGCTTTCCTCTAGAATATAAATTCAGGGACTGACAACATTCATGAAATATTCAACATTGAACTGACATTTTCAAACAGTTATTCTCTTCAAATCTAATATAATTTAGAAGATATACCAAACATGCTAAAGGTTGTTATATATTTTTGTTATTTTTTTTACCACAATATTTTGTAGTGTCATCTTTTTTTCACGTTAAATTTATCATTGAAATTATACTTTACTGAAATTAAAGCAACTTATACGATGTAAATTGTATATGTTAAAGGTGGATAAGTTCAGTTTTTAATAACTCTTATTTTTCTCATATCAACACTAAAAATAGCAAATTCAGCGGGGATTTTCATTTATTCATAATCATCAGTGCATGATACATATTATACTTTTAATTGTTCGCTGACTGTACACATAACCCATCTACGTGGCGGATATAGTTTGTCATTATTCCTGACCTGATCAATTGGTAGATCGAAAAGGTAGGTACACAACCACTTTTAAAACTAAAAAACTTTTGTGATAGTTCATAGTAGTTAAAAATAACGTGCTATAGACTGAAACATCTCAAATTTCCAGGTACAAATACAGGGTTAATAATTTTATTATCACAATGAGAAAGGTAAAAACATCTGGGTACATTATTCAGAGAGCAATAAGATGTGTTTTTTAACTATCAAATAGTAACATGCGCAATTCAGGAATAAACATGTATACTTTATACTTATGTTTAAAATTGCTATACGAAAATAATCGTATATCCTAAATCAAAAGGTGTCCTTATTCAAACGCAATAAAATGCCGTATTTCAATTGTTAAAAAAACGATCCAATTTAATATCACTTGCAAATCCTAAGCCTATATCATTTGAACTTAAGGTGAATTGATTGGTTGATCGATGATTGCTTTAAACCACATCATCTTTAACTGAAGATAAGACAGTAATAATTCAAATTTGTTATATATTGAAAGAAAGTATGAAACACAAATCACACAAATACATGTCTTTTCTTTTCAACCCGAACATATAACAAATATGTTCACATACTTAGGGTCCATTGTTAAACATTGAAATATTAGTAAGTATTGGTCTACATAACAAACTATGAAATACTTTATACATTGGACAAAAAACTTCCACAATCTGGTTGTTAATTTTCTAAGTCAAACATGCGTATAATCCAATTCTGTAAAGAACAATACGTTATTATTCTGATGAAACTTTATAGGCTATTTGTACTTACATGTTCCTCTTTTTCCTTGAAATGCAGACGTGTAAACATAGCATGGGTAACGCGACTGGTGCTAGCTGTAGTGCAGGATCTGTCTACCCCCCCCCCCCCCCAAAAAAAAAAAAAAGAGTGTTTGAAATCAAGTTTTTTGTTGTTCAGCCTTTACTTGTATATGTTGTTTTTTCCTTCGTCTGTGTAATTGTACACTGTATATTTTCTTTAAATTATCCTCATCATACACATTAAATTTCAACTGTATTGGACGCATGATATCGGATATGTTCCGTATGTCGTAACTACAATACCCTTCCCTTGTCACGAATGTGACCTACCGAATTAGACTATTTACCGGATTTGTAATAACATAAGCAACACGACGGGTGCCATATGTGGAGCAGGATCTGCTTACCCTTCCAGAGCACCTGAGTTAACCCCCCCCCCCCCCAGTTTTTGGTAAGGTTCGTGTTGCTTAGTCTTTAGTTTTCTATGTTGTGTCATCTGTACTATTATGTGTCTGTTTGTCTTTTTATTTTTGGCCATGGCGTTGTCAGTTTGTTTTCGATCTATGAGTTTGACTGTCCCTCTGGTATCTTTCGTCCCTCTTCTATAGCTATTTTAAACTTAAATTTCTTCCCTTTTATGTCAATAACATAAACGGTATTAATTTTTCTGCTTCAGATGCGCATTTCGACAATCAATGTCTCTTCAGTGATGCTTGAGGCCAAAATATTTGAAAATCCAAAGCTTATTAAAAAGATGAAGAGCTATAAACCAAAAAGTCCAGAAAAGTATAGCCAAAGCAAACAATCCATCTTGAGGCAATACAAAAAAAAAAGTATTGGCTCTTTTTATTTTTGTCGATATAAGTATTAGTAACTATTGACTTAATGAGCTCTCAGTTTGTGTAAAACTATACATACTGAGGTACAATAAAGCCAAACTTTGAATACAGTTACATAATATTCTAGAAAAAGGGAAAAATATTGGCACCTTGTATTGATGCCGAACACACATTTTGCAATTGAAACTTACATTCCTTCCCTTTTATGACAAACAATCCATCTTTATCTATAAAAAGGGCTCAATTATCGAACCAGTGCAGGACTATTATAAAGAAAATCTATCTTCAATTGCAAATAGGATATAAATGAGAATCGCTTCACAAAAAATATACCTGTACTTCCGAACCGTAAATAAATTCAAAATGGCATTTTTATACAGCATCTATACAGGATATTGTTAGAAAGCGTCCTGAAACTCTTTATTAAGCGGTATGTTTGCATGATCAACTCCGTGCTGCATATTGTTATCCGTACCTCTTTCATCGTCCTGACTACAGACTGTGTAAACTGGGGATATTAGACTTGTTCAATACTTCATAGTAATTTGTTTATATCAAAATATCTGTAAACAAAACATTTCCAAAATACCTCTGCATATTGTAGTTGAATAATTAATGTTTCTCCAAAATACATATTCCAGGTGTATTCATAGGATGTATGTTTAAAAAGTGTTGGGCTAACGCTCAGGATAAAACTCGAATTTCACCGTCCAGGCCATGTGTAAATTTCCAACAAATCTATGGCTTCCATGCATTGTTTCTTAAACAAATGATGTGGGTTTATTCTATAAGTTCAAGGGACAAAAAGACTTTTTTTTTAAATTTTGCAATTAGATAGTTAACACCCTATACTGGTCTTTTGCCCTTTGACCTATGAATGTTTGCGCTAGAATTTTTTATTAAGTAAATTGTGGGTTTAGTCTGTGTAATTATGTCATAAGATCTTAAAAGCGGGATTACAGATAAATTAATGATTGCATGACTGTAGGTAAACATTAATAATATAACCATTAAGTAACATGTTTATCAAATTTCAATCATAAACTTTGTGATTTCCAAATATTTATATGTCTTTTTTTATTTTGTATTTCAAAATAAATACGGCTAAAATTTTTGGATTAGAATTATACAAAAAAAAAACCGGCCCAAATGTAACCTTTTCAAATTATTTGCATGTAAGTGACTTGCTCTAAACGTGAGTATATGAGATATTAGGACAAGACAGGTCAAATCAACGTACAAATTATTAGCATGTATACACATGTAGCATCCTTCTTTACGGTCACCTCACTGGTTAACATTTTTCACATATTCCTCTATGTAACATTTTGTAAAGTTATAACTAAAATGAACAAAATCATTATACATTTCATAATTGTTGTGCTATACAAATGGAAATATGACATGTATTTTTATACTTTAATGCATTGAACGTTGTATAGAGCATGATATCCCCTATAGCCATCTGTCTATTGTTCAGTACTATATATTGACATTAATATTTGTTGTTTTTTTGTGTCTGTGGCTCACATCCGGTAGAAATGAAGACGTTAAATGTGATGCATTGCGTAGGGGATGCATCAGGCGTTCAACACGTAAAAAGGCTCTTGCAACAACTCTTCGGGGGTTCTGTTTTTGGCGTGTTGTAAGATCAGATGTCAGTGGCTCTTAAGATTTTGTTATCTTGATCCCGTTCGAGCTGCCGTAATGTTTGCCCCAGTACGTTAAGTAATGAATCATTTTTTATTCATATTTCAGGTTAGGGTAAACACACACAAATTTGCATCGGTAACATTGTAAATGTAATTTCTAACTCGTCTGTATAAGAGAGTGAATCGTTCAGGTGGTCTTTCATTAATGTACCTTCATTTTGACAGCACCTCGCTGCCATTAATATTTAAACTTCATCAAACGAAACCGTTAAGAGGCTACTTGATATACAAACAATGCAAATGACCAAATTCAGCAGTTGACTCCTAAGTGAAGTTTTTTGTTTGTTTTCAATGACAATTTTCTTTTATGTTTTGTTATTTTTGACGAAACCGATATAAGTAGATAGAGCATAATTGTAAACAGCAGAGATGACCCACACGACTAAACTTGCAATATAACTTAAAATGACTGACAACGTCAGTCTGCAACTTATAGGGGAATATTATGCTTCAATAACGGCGAATTATTTTTTTGCGTTTTTTACAATTTTAAAACATGAAAACTATAATATTAAGAGAGGCTTTTAATGCAAAACTCCCCCCCCCCTGAATTTCTTCTTGAACACACTCATCATAGACAAGATAGATAACAGGCTTAAGACAATCATCGCTCGAATCAAACTGTCAATGCTTTCCTCTAGAATATAAATTCAGGGACTGACAACATTCATGAAATATTCAATATTGAACTGACATTTTCTAACAGTTATTCTCTTCAAATCTAATATAATTTAGAAGATATACCAAACATGCTAAAGGTTGTTATATATTTTTGTTATTTTTTTTACCACAATATTTTGTAGTGTCATCTTTTTTTTCGCGTTAAATTTATCATTGAAATTATACTTTACTGAAATTAAAGCAACTTATACGATGTAAATTGTATATGTTAAAGGTGGATAAGTTCAGTTTTTAATAGCTCTTATTTTTCTCATATCAACACTAAAAATAGCAAATTCAGTGGGGATTTTCATTTATTCATAATCATCAGTGCATGATACATATTATACTTTTAATTGTTCGCTGACCGTACACATAACCCATCTACGTGGCGGATATAGTTTGTCATTATTCCTGACCTGATCAATTGGTAGATCGAAATGGTAGGTACACAACCACTTTTAAAACTAAAAAACTTTTGTGATAGCTCATAGTAGTTAAAAATAACGTGTTATAGACTGAAACATCTCAAATTTCCAGGTACAAATACAGGGTTAATAATTTTATTATCACAATGAGAAAGGTAAAAACATCTGGGTACATTATTCAGAGAGCAATAAGATGTGTTTTTTAACTATCAAATAGTAACATGCGCAATTCAGGAATAAACATGTATACTTTTATATCTATGAAGTTCTAGAGTAAATATTTGAGATTACTTCACGCATCTGAACAAAGACATCTTTCGGCTGTCTGATGAAGATAAAAAGATTATTTCATAATACAAAAAATCTCCTATTGGCCATAAAATTAACAGTGTTGAACAGTAGAATGCTCAGCATATTATGTTTAAAATTGCTATACGAAAATAATCGTATATCCTAAATCAAAAGGTGTCCTTATTCAAACGCAATAAAATGCCGTATTTCAATTGTTAAAAAAAACGATCCAATTTAATATCACTTGCAAATCCTAAGCCTATATCATTTGAACTGAAGGTGAATGGATTGGTTGATCGATGATTGCTTTAAACCACATCATCTTTAACAGAAGATAAGACAGTAATAATTCAAATTTGTAATATATTGCAAGAAAGTATGAAACAAAAATCACACAAATACATGTCTTTTCTTTTCAACCCGAACATATAACAAATATGTATCGTGTGCTGTGTATGGATGTACCACGTGCTGCATATTTTGACCCGCAGTTTCACGCGTGTAATACAAAAAGACACTGTTACAGCATCCGAATAGAGTTTTTATTAGAAACTAAGAAATAGTATCACTTGAATCAAAGAAACCTTAAACAGATACTGCATTTGGTTCACATACTTAGGGTCCATTGTTAAACATTGAAATATTAGTAAGTATTGGTCTACATAACAAACTATGCAATACTTTATACATTGGGCAAAAACTACCTCAATCTGGTTGTAAATTTTTTAAGTCAAACATGCGTATAATCCAATTCTGTAAAGAACAATACGTTATTATTCTGATGAAACTTTATAAGCTATTTGTACTTACATGTTCCTCTTTTTCCCTTGAAATGCAGACGTGTAAACATAGCATGGGTAACACGACTGGTGCTAGCTGTAGTGGAGGATCTGTCTACCCCCCCCCCCCTCAAAAAAAAAAGAGTGTTTGAAATCAAGTTTTTTGTTGTTCAGCCTTTACTTGTATATGTTGTTTTTTTCCTTCGTCTGTGTAATTGTACACTGTATATTTTCTTTAAATTATCCTCATCATACACATTAAATTTCAACTGTATTGGACGTATGAGTTTCATTACCTATTAGTGAATGAATGTCCGAATAACATCAACTCAATGAATTGTTTCATGTATTTCTATACGAAATAGCATTACTTTATCCCCCCTGAATTTCTTCTTGAACACACTCATCATAGAAAAGATAGATAACAGGCTTAAGACAATCATCGCTCGAATCAAACTGTCAATGCTTTCCTCTAGAATATAAATTCAGGGACTGACAACATTCATGGAATATTCAACATTGAACTGAAATTTTCAAACAGTTATTCTCTTCAAATCTAATATAATTTAGAAGATATACTAAACATGCTTAAGTTTGTTATATATTCTTTTATTTCCTTTACCACAATATTTTGTAGTGTTTTTTTTTTTTCACGTTAAATTTATAATCGAAATTATACTTTACTGAAATTAAAGCAACTTATACGATGGAAATTGTATATGTTAAAGGTGGATAAGTTCAGTTTTTAATAACTCTTATTTTTCTTATATCAAAACTAAAAATGGCAAATTCAGTGGGGATTTTCATTTATTCATAACCATCAGTACATGATACATATTATACTTGTAATTGTTCGCTGACCGTACACATAACCCATCTACGTGGCGGATATAGTATGTCATTATTCCTGACCTGATCAATTGGTAGATCAAAATGGTAGGTACACAACCACTTTTAAAACTACAAAATTTTTGAATTAGTTCATAGCAGTTATTTAATAACGTGCCTTATTTCCAGGTACAAATACAGGGTTAATAATTTTATTATCACAATGAGAAAGGTAAAAACATCTGGGTACATTATTCAGAGCCGCAATAAGTTGTGTTTTTTAACTATCAAATAGTAACAAGCGCAATTCAGGAATAAACATGTATACTTTTATATCAATAAAGTTCTAGAGAAAATATCTGAGATTACTTCACGCATCTGAACAAAGTAATCTTTCGGCTGTCTGATAAAGATAAAAAGATTATTTCATAATACAATAAATCTCTTATTGGCCATAAAATTAACAGTGTTGAACTGTAGAATGCTCAGCATATTATGTTTAAAATTGCTATACGATAATAAGCGTATATCCTAAATCAAAAGGTGTTCTTATTCAAACGCAACAAAATGCCGTATTTCAATTGTTAAAAAAACGATCCAATTTAATATCACTTGCAAATCCTAAGCCTAAATCATTTGAACTTAAGGTGAATTGATTGGTTGATCGATGATTGCTTTAAATCACATCATGTTTAACTGAAGATAAGACAGTAATTATTCAAATGTGTTATATATTGCAAGAAAGTATGAAACATAAATCACACAAATACATGTCTTTTCTTTTCAACCCGAACATATAACAAATATGTATCGTGTGCTGTGTATGAATGTACCACGTGCTGCATATTTTGACCCGAAGTTTCACGCGTGAACTACAAAAAGACATTGTTACAGCATCCGAATAGGGTTTCTATTAGAGAAAAGTTCCAATTAAGACTTTTACGGGAACAAATATTCGATATGATGGGCATGAAATGATTTTAATGATATATGGAATATTAAGAAAGAAAAACAAATAATGATCAGCAAAAACTCTTTATTTGAATATTTGAATATCCCTTATATTTTGTGTTTCCGATTTACACTCTTTTTTTTAGTTTTTGCGACTAAGTGAAACTTTTAATGTATCTTGTACATGAAGCATGCTTTATTCGTGTTATTGTTCTCTTTGTTCATATTTTGCTCTGCACCATTTCAGAAATCGTTTTCATTTGATTTCTTCATCATACATATTGGTAAAGATAATAAGTCGTGTTTAACTTTTACCCACTTACTTGAACAAGAGGGATACAACTGTTGCAGTAACTTATATTTGACACCTGATCTGAAGATCCAGGATAAACTTGTCAAAATGATAACTGATTCAGAATATTACATCATTTGGATTTCATCCGAAAATAATTATAATAGCAATTCCTTGTTAGATTGGTGTATAGACATTGTTCGACATACTTCTGCAAGCAAACATGGATACTTTCTACCTTACATCTTTCGTTTGAATAAAACCTTGGTTCCAGAAGATCTAAAAGAATATGAAACATATGAACTGTCATCAGATTTTCCATGCAAAATTCTAGAAATATTTGACTATTTGAGGAGGGGTCCTTCAAAAGGTATTTATTGGTAATAATATTTGTCTTCATATTTTTTGTTGGTTGTCTTTTCTTTTTACACTTCTTGGGCATTTAAGCAAGGCTAATTGTGTTTACTGTAAGATAAATAATACAGTCTGTTCTTGTGTATCATATACTCATTCGAAAAATTGACTTAATTCAGATTTTAATTGGTCAATAAGAGGGAGACAATGTACTCTATCGTAAAATTCCTATACCAAGTAAAAAATATAACAGTTGTGTTACATTCGTTCCGTTGGTTGATAAAGTCTGAAGTTTCATTTAGTCTGTTTGAACTTCTCCTTTTTGGGTTAATCTTGGAGTTTGGTATATTTGTTACACGGTTATAAGTTTGTTTCGATATTTTTTATAAATATACAACATGTTCAAGTTTATAATGCAACATTTTTTTTTATTTTAGAATATGCCTGCAAATATACGTTATATGGGGTATATTTACCACGCTTACGTAGCAGTGGGTGCATGGCAATCTAAAGTTTTTTTCAATTCATTTTCGGAAAGGTTTACTTGCGACAAAATCAACTTCTGCTATGAGTTTAGAGATATGGAAATTGGATCACCAAGTGTAGATGAAATAGAAAGAAACATGCGTATATCAGATTCTTTAATTGTGGTGTATGACAATGCCTTCGGTGATAGCAAGGCAATATTTACAATTGAAATAGGAAAACAAATCCAACTTGGAAATCATAAATTCAAGCTCATTGTTTTAGAATTTATGCCGATATCTTCTGAACATTTAAGCCATTTTGAAACATTCAGTCGAATAACTGTCAGGGAATCTTATGAAGACCGGGCATATCAACATATTTTGAGGATTTTTACTGACACAGGTATTTTATTTATTTTTGTCCCGCCTGCCTCGGCAGTCATAGAGGTTTTACAGATAGGTACCGTATTCTGACATTATTTATATAAATCAATACAGATGTTCAATTTGACACGGATTTTGTTTACTAACAAATTAGATACAGTCTAGAATCAATGTTGTTCTCCCTCAACGGATGTTTACGAAACATGGACATAAGCTTCGTCACAATTAAGTTCATAGTATCTTTAGCAAAAAATTAATTTGTTTTTCCCATTGTTCTGTCTTTTGCTTATGAATTGATTTTTTTTTGCAGTCATTATCAAGGTGCAGTCTTTGGGGAGATTCTTTAACATTTGAGTACCTCTGCTTAACATTCATGTAATTTGACCGAACTAAGGCACAAAATGCTTCATAAACAAGATTTAAAGGACACACAGCATTTTGTAGCATTTTATTTTTATGTATTTTACTGAAAATTTTGATTTTTTTACCCTCAAAGATGCTTTTTTTCCACAAAACCATATGTCTTTCTTTCGGTTTTCAAGCATATTGTATTTCCGGCCTCAAAGTATCATTGAATGACTTAATAAAAGAGTAACCGAACAAAACGTTCTTAGAACAGAACGCAATTTTTTATTCACAAGAGAAATATATCAAAAATATTGGATCGGTTTGCATGATATAGATAAAGGGACAATCGTTCCTAAACTTCGTTTTTTATTTGTTTAAACTGTTTTGTTTCCAGTGCCATTTGCGGTACGTTTTTATTATAAAAACACGCGCGTTTGAAGTATTGGTTTATACTAAAGCAATATCTAATCAGTTTTTACAGATAAATAAGAATATGAGCTTAATAGTATTATATACAGAAGGGAAAGAATAAAAAAAAAAAAATCATAAAATAATTTCTAAAATCGACTACTTTTACAATACATTTTATTTCAGATTTTACTGAAGATGATATAGAAGTTGAAAACAGGACAATAAAGGATCGCAATGACAAAATAGGTACATGTCGGTATAGTTTTTTTCTCTTCATCGTCGATTTTATGATCATAATCCTTACCTAATCCCTCTGTATATCATATTTTAGATGTTGGCTATACTTTTTCACTGCCAAACAAAAACGGATCATAAAACATATGATCGAAAGTTCATTAAAAAAATCATGGCAAAGTGTTGTTTTTAAAGATAATGCATAGAAAAACAGCTTCAAAGGTCCATCATTTCACATTTTGTGCTTTTTACAGTTTCAGACACATTTTTATCACTACTTATATTATCTATATTCTTTGCCATATGTTAGCGCAGTGTAATTTCAAATACTCTTTCTGGGAAACCAAAAAAAAAAAAAACGGTATGCCCTTGTTCTACTCGTTTTTATGAACAACTCTTCAGTATTTCAGTTAAATCGTGGATTTTAAAACGCTCAATCGACCTTCAATGTACCAGACGAGTTACTCACCTTTGTTAACTGAGAACGCTGATTTTTTCCTTTTAATTATCGAAATAAGCTGCTGTTTTTCTGTCTGTATGATATATTTTTATTTTTTATAAACAATTTCATCTTAATTTGTATTTGTTTGTGTTTTCAGTATGAATCATGTGGTTGTAAAAAGGAGGAGGGTCCGGAGAACAACACATTTCATCACAGAATTTTGAAATCTTCGTTTTCATATCTAACATTGTAACTAAGGCACTGCTAGTTTATGAAATTTATTGTATGCAGTAAAAGTCAGATTCTTTCATTTATACGCAAATATAAAAATAAGAAGATGTGGTCAGATTTCCATTGACCATGCATGTTGACAACTATCCAGATAGGATATATTCAAATATTGTGGATATAAGCAATGATAATGATAGGTCACTGTATAGCACTCATCGCGAGGGTTAGGGTTAGTATATCAATCGCGAGGGTTAGGGTTAGTATATCAGTGCAGTGTATTATCTAAAGATAAATTTGAGTCTAGGAATGACTAAGGGGGTCCTTTATTTCATTCAATCTGCATTCTTTAATGTCTAGGTAACCTTTTCTGTTATTTTTTTTTTGCCTTATTGTCACTATAACAGACAGACAATAATCAACACTATGATATTCTCTTTTTATTTTTTGCGTAGTAGCCATAATAATATTCTCTAGTATTCTGTAAACCCCTCTCAGACTCTGATACATGTATCATAAATTCTTGCTCCGAAAGTTGTTGAATTTGTTCTGTTGTACTAGTAAATGTTTCATTGTTTATGGTAATAATGTCATGTTGCCCCTATATCATCATAAATAAACTATATTTAAATGGTCTGTACTTTAGGTACACTAATGAGCAAATACATCTTCCAGGTTAGGGGAGGGTTGGGATCCCGCTAACATGTTTAACCCCGCCACATTCTGTATATATGTGCCTGTCCCAAGTCAGGAGCCTGTAATTCAGTGGTTGTCGTTTGTTTATTTCTTACATATTTGTTTTTTGTTAATTTTTTTGTACATAAATTAGGCCGTTAGTTTTCTCGTTTGAATTGTTTTACATTGTCATTTCGGGGCCTTTTATAGCTGACTGTATGGTATGGTCTTTGCTCATCGTTGAAGGCCGTACGGTGACCTATATTTGTTAATTGATGTGTCATTTGGTATCTTGTGGAGAGTTGTCTCATTGGCAATCATATCACATCTTCTTTTTTATATTCAATGTTTTAAAAAAAATATGAACACAATCTTAACTGTCCAATTTGTACATTTATCCTTCAAAATAATACCAGAAGAGAAGGTTTCACTTGATTTGTATGACTGAGTTGGGGGAAAAATAGCAAGCAGGGGACCAGTAGCCAAGGGTTGTACAGGTTTTTGACTTGGCCCCTAGATATTTTTTAATTGCAAATATCCATAATCCTTATGCTTATCTCTCCTTTTTTCACAAGTTGGACCCTATATTGATAATGTTAGTCTTCCCCCTCGCTTTATACCCCTGTTATGATATTCAGTTGGAGAGGTTTTTGCATAGTCATAGATCCGTATACCATGCTCAAATGAGGACCATTTTGATAGAAAGGTATAAGTTTAAAATCAGCATTATAGGAGTAGTAGTGGTTTTTCTCAGAATTGGTCTATTTGTGTAAAGAATTGGAAATAATGTCTAACATAAGAACATTTTCATTTCTATTGCTCAAAGTAAAGAAAATTATATTCAAGTTTCGAATAAAATACATTTGTAGTTTTAATAATGTCATAGACAAAGAATGTCGCCAGTCAAACTGTTGATAAACATTTCAAATAAAACATAGCGTAATTAACTAGAAGGAATAATGTATACTTCCTACCTCCTTAATAATGAATGATTTCCTACACTTTTATTGTAATCACTTAATCCTTGTAGTACATGAATCACATTGAATTTTTTGTTCCATTCACATTGCTTTATTCTCATAGCAATTTTGAAGTAAAAAATAACACATTTGTGATGAACATTTATGAATCCATCCTCCCTTTTTACGGTTTATCCAGTTGACATCATAAAAGCTATGTTTTACGTTTAGTGTACATATATAGGTCACTTTATCACAGTATGGATATATTCATTTGATCTGAAATATATAATAATAATGACAATTAACAACTTGTTGGTCATAATGCATGTAACTCACTGTAAACAACCACCATAATTAAACACAAAATTTCACACATGTTCATTGTACATGTATGAAATAAATTGGAATATTTCAACTTCATCTAGCCTCATTAATCAAATCATTAATCAATATATAAATATACTATGATCATTATAACTTTTCCAAAGATTGTGATATGATTGTTCAAAACACACTATCCAGTAAATCATCCTGTCAACAAGGCTTGTGAAATCAGGACCCCAAAAAATAATACATGTATAAAGAGACTGTTTGTAAAATTTAATAATGTGCAGCTCTAAATTATTAAAAATCTTGCCTGTTTTGAAGTCTCTACAAAATTTAACTGTTCATATTCAAATTCATGCATATTTAATGACAGCAATGATCATGAGCTTATATGCTTATAAGTTATATGCATAATTAAAGAGATGCATTTTTTCAATTGTAATTTCTATAAATTGAAAATATTTTACCAAATTTAAATTATAATCATTAATGGTTGATGCAAATAGTTCATTAGCACCCATGCCATTTGACAATATCTAGAAAATGGACAAGATACCTACTGCTTAACCATATATTGTTTTGTTGACATTTCAATAAGAATGACTACACACAGTGTCTATAATTGTTTACATCCACTTTATTTGAATTTTGTTGGATTATTGTCTCAAATGCAATGATACCACATCTCCTGACTGTTATATTCATTGAACGAAAATGTAAACGTTTATGACAATGAAAATAACAAAATATTCGAATGAGTATTGGCGAACACATTTAAAGATAGTTTCTACCTTTGTTCCCGCTGGAACAACAATTGAAATTTTAGTCAACACATGTTTCATTGTTTTAAAGAAAAAACGAAATCTACGTTTCAAAACAAATGTCTTATCTGTATATTCATTGCCATTTCTTTGGATATTTTTAACGTTAAATTTGCAATATAATAAGGATAACAAAGATTTCAGCTATTATTATTCTTCAATTGTTCAAACTGCGCGCAAATGGTCAAGATTGATAACCATACATGACAAAAATAAAAATAGAAATGGCGATATGAACGTAAACGGACACTGTATTTCAACATTATTTTATTTTATACATTTAATTATACATCGTACATTTTGGTTGTTATGTTTACGTTTGTTGTACTCATTGAGTTGTTGTTGTAAACTATGTTCACAGTTGTCTTCTTTGTCAATCGGAGACATTGCAATTACTTTTTCTGAACGAATAAATACCCTTTTGTGATTTTTATTAACTGTACGTGTAGTTTTTATTATTATAATAACAGTAGAATGTCAAAAAATAAAAAAAAAAAAATCTTGTCATGAAGATGTAATATCCTACGATGGTGAGCACTTTGCAGTTACATTAATAAAAGATGTTAATTTAAAATATGTAGCCCAGCTTTGATCATACTAAGTAACTATCCTCTGTGATGAAAACTGTAACAAATAGGCAAACAACTTAAGTTTACTCGACAATCGCATGGCGTATAGAAAGTATAACACCAGACAATTTAGGAAAGTGTTTGGTGACTATCCTACCGATGATTAAAAAAATAAAAATAAAAATAAGAACATGTGCTTTAACCAACCACTTATTAAAAAATAATTTTATTGACCTTAAGTTACATTGTCATTTATTTAGAAAAAAAATAATATCAAACTATGCAATGGCAGACATGTGTTTTCGAGACCTTTGTTTGATAGATTTTGGGCAGCAAGATAGTATGTGGTCTCTATTGGTGCCGGCTGAATTGCTCCTTGGATGTGTGCCACTTTAATGTGATAAACTCTGCAAAAAAAAAAAATCCTGCACAGAGATGTAAATAAAATGGAAGATACCAAAGGATATTTAAACTCAGAAGTCGAAGTCGTCATAATAATTCAATTGTCACAAAAAAACGAAAATCGACCAAAAAAAAAAAAAAAAAGTCTACCAAACACAACATAGAAAACTAAAGACTGCACTTCACGAGCCCTATTGAAAACTAAGAATTGTCGGTTCCATAATACTGAAAGAGTTTAACAGACTTTAACATGGAATATAGTAAGCAGATCATATCATTATACATTGTGATCAGACTAAAAGTATCGTTTTTAGTTTATGTAGTTACCCAACATCAATATAATCGCTAAATCATGCATAAATGTGGAACTGTTTATACAAAACTAATAAAACGACACGAATATTTTTTTTTAATTGTTTACAACATTGTGTACAAAATATATTATTTATCGTGGTTATAAATATAGATAGGAAGATGTGGTATGAGTTCCAATGAGACAACTCTCTATCCATGTCACAATGTATAAAAAGTATACAATTATAGGTCAAAGTACGGCCTTCAAAACGGAGCCTTGGCTCACACCGAATAGTAAGCTATAAATGGCCCCAAAATCACTAGCGTAAAACAACTCCAACAGGAAAACTAACGGTGTAATCTAAATTATAAAAAAAGAGAAACAAGGAACACCTATGAACAACACCAACAAACGACATCCACTGAACGACAGGCTCATGACTTAGAACGAATGCATTGAAATGCAGCGGGTTCAAACGTTTTTACATGCGCCAACCTTCATCTTAACCTGACACAGTTTTGTAACTTTACAACATAAAAATACACACTACAAAATATCAATTCTAATGCAATTAGTTTGTATCAATGGTGCTTATTGCATGACAGTAAGCGTGAAATAAAACGTGTTTACGTTTGACGCCGGGAGCATACCAATGACGTCACCTAGTTAAAGGGCAAAAGAAGATAACATCTTTTCGCGGAATTTTCTTTAATGAAAATTGTACACTGAAATAATGCTTGAAATTAAATTAAGTGTTTGTTTTGCATTAGAATAGAAATAACTGTATTGTATTTCAAGCTTTGCGGACGTCCAGGTAAACTCAATTTGCGACAGTAAAACTACCGATGGAAGTCCGCAAAGCTTCAAATACAATACAGTTATCTCTTAATCGAAATGGCTTAACTCGATCAAAAAGACATTTAACCAAAAGAAAGTAAACATACACTGAACGATTAAGTTAGATCTATGACACAATATAGAATTAACACAATATTAAAACGTAGGTGCCTATATAACATAGACGTTACAGGTAGTATTAAAACAAATGTAGGAAGAGTGTCAATAAGAGAACTCCTACCTGGGAGCAAATGGCGTTAAGTAAAACACCATATGCAGGTAAATTCAAATATAATTATTTTGTTTTCAGGAGTACGGAAGAAAACATGTTTTAAAAAATTAATAAATTTGTTGTTCAGAGTACGTGTACAGAAGTGAAAATTTATCGTCATACTAAATACACATATAACTTTTGTTTTATCTTTCAAATTCGAAGTTACGGAAAGCTCGTGTTTTTGTTCGCGTTTAAACTGGAGAGTAATATATTCAATATGGTTTGTCTTGCTTAAAGAATGTGCCTCAGCTCAGTTGGTCACACGACATTCAAACTAAGGCAAATAACTTTTAAACTTATTTACAAAGCTTTCAAAGTCAAGCGGATGACCTTCAAGTTAGTGCATCATATTTTTAAAACTAGACTTAAACAGGCGCACATAATATTGAAATCGTTCGTAAAAGTGTTTAATTAATGTATATGATTAGGTTTAGTATTATCACATTATTTTGTAAGAATGCACACTTATGTAACTTAGATGATATTTGTTTTTAGATTTAAAGATATATCATTCTTAGCTCTTTTTGTTATGGAGTTTCTTCTTTTATTCAATACTACCAGCTTTTTCCAACAAACTTTTATTCAATACTACCTGCTTTTTTCAACAAAAAATACTATGCGATTGATAACTAACAAATAATGTATTGGCTAAATTGATTGCGTGAAGAACAAATCAATACATGAATAAATTAACCGCTATTGTATTATTTTTTATGTGCAATATATTTGGCAAATGAACAAGCTAGTTATTCAATCCCATAGGTCTATTTATAAAGTAATGACAAACATATTTTAAATCGTTTATCATTAAAACAGACGAAGTATTAACGCAATATCATGTCATGCCAAGATAACTTTATTTGCCGAAAATGAAAATAGTTTTGATTAGATTGAAATTAAAAACAAAAACTAAGAAATTAAAAAAAAAAAATAATAATATTACGGTGATTTCAATTTTCTAGGGGATAATTATCTTAGTTTCTGAATCATCTTAAAAGTAAAATGTCTTCAGTATGTAAATATAGTAAATTGTGTTATATAAAATTAAGGAGATGTGGTACCATTGCTAATGAGACAACTATCCACCAAAGTTTAAATGAAGTGGATGTAAAGCAATAATGGGCAACCGTACGGCCTTCAACAATGAAAAAAATTCCATACCGTGCGGTCGGCTATAAAAGGCCCCGACATGAAAAATATAAAACAATTCAATTGAGAAAAACTGACGACCTTATTTATAGCAACTTATAAATCTAACAAAAACAAAAAGGTGGACGTGGACGGGTACTTGTACATCCCAAAAACAAAGATACACTCAGTACATATCTGAGGGTCTATGCTTTGTTTCCTATGTGATTGTCGGTGCATTATTACATCTATGGTTATATATGTATTTGGGGGTACAAAATCCTTAGCTTTTTTGTAAAAAATCAAAGATGAGTTAACAGTTGATTATTAATTTTGCCGATATCAATGACATATACATGTCAATAGTTTATCTGCAAATAAAATATACATGGTTTTATTATAAAAAGATGAGGTAAACGGTAGGTTAGCTAGCGTGAATAGGTAAAAACATAAATGCATTAAGCTTTTAAAGCATGTAATACAAAGGGCTTTTGATCGTGTATTGATTGAAAATTGGTAAAGAACCTCTACCTCAAACACAATCCCTTTTTAGTAGCAACAATATCAGGTGTAGTGAGACAATTTCAATGACCGAATATCAGTACGCTTACAATGTAAATATTCTTTAAATGTTGGAAGATTGTGCACAAATATTAACATGATAAAATTCTTTACTTACCTTTGTAGTGAATAATGTATTTTGTTCAGCTATTGATTTGTTCAATTCGTCGTATATAGGTCCAGCATTTTACACTGTTAATATCAGTAATGTAATGAACTGTTATAAACTGTTCTACCATCTAAAGATTTAAAGACATAATATTACCTAGGTAGTTTATAACATAGCCAATTGAATATTTTGATCGTATTTAATCAACTGTAGATATGGACGCAATGAGAAATTTATTTATAAACTTATCATGCATGGAATTAGAAGTGAAATTGTCAAGGTAGTGTTATTCTTCCTTACAATCTGAAATTTGCTTCTTACAAATTTAAAGTATTATTCTGAAACAAAAACACTTTCTCTTGTCCTTATCTACCAAAATATAGTAAACATATATTTTTCGTTCAATTGTCGATTTCATGTTGCGTCACTTTTCCTTACAACTTGTGGTTCGTTTAGGAATATAAATTAAAATGTGTTTTAAGCGTTTACAAATTTAATAACTATATTTGTAGAAGGTTTAGCTGCTGTATAAACAAGTATTATCTTTGAAAAAAATATATCTGACACATTCAGATTGGAGCATAGAGTTTAATCTTTATTAGTTTTTTTTAATTATAGTTTAAAAAAATGTATAAACATGTTGTAGCATATATCTTTTTTGTTGGGTTTTGTTGAACTCAGTTATTTCGTCCAATCATAATAAGTATTTGTGACAACATGCATGACTTTACCATAGTGTAGTGTCTATTTCAAATGGATCACAAACCGAAATTATACTAACCTAACTTACGAGGACGATATAGTATATATAAAAGGATGCTAGTGATATTCTCAAAAGTCGGCAAACAAAGACATGTTGATGTTGGAAATTTAAATATTCTTATACTACATGAACGTTTATAATAAAAAAAAACTAACTTTACTCTTGTACAACAATAAATAACGATTAACAATAATTTATTTTCGAAAAGAAAACAGCCCAAGGCCAACAATTTTCTTCAACGGAGCGAGAAACTGAGATCACCCCCAGTTTTTGGTGGGGTTCGTGTTGCTTAGTCTTTAGTTTTCTATGTTGTGTCTACTGTACTATTATTTGTCTGTTTGTCTTTTTATTTTTGGCCATGGCGTTGTCAGTTTGTTTTCGATCTATGAGTTTGACTGTCCCTCTGGTATCTTTCGTCCCTCTGGTATCTTTCGTCCCTCTTTTAACATACTAGTTCAGCGAAATGGACGCCACACTGAACTGAAACATACAAATATTAACCAA